CGAATTCCGAGGACGGAATTCCTTTTATTAGGGGGGAAGAATGTAATACCCCTAGATTTAAAAGGATATTCTTGGTATTTAATGTATTGTTTAAATAGTATTTTAATTTAATTAATTGTTTAAATTTTTTTTTATTTGATTAATTGATTGATTGCTGTTAATTTAAATTATTTGTGTGCATTTTTATTAAATTAATTTTTTAATTGCTTATTTTGTTTTATTTATTTGACCTAATTGGATTTTGTTATTTTAGTTGATTTATTTGGTAAATTATTTTTTATGATATGTATTTTCTGTCTTTAATTATTTAGTTGTATTTTTATTTGGCTTTTATTTATTTAAGGAAGTTAAGTTAAAGATTTTAGTTATTAAATTAGGGTATAGTTTTAATTGTATAATGGAATTCACGTATGTAGCCGACACTGTTTTAAAACGTAGGTATTGTTATGGGCCGACTACATTAGGGCTCTGTCTATATTTATACACGGATTAGGGTTTTAATGGTAAGCCTATAAATACTCTGTTGTGTCTTAGCCTAGGGTTTTAAAATTACCAAAAGCTCTGTCACGTCTCAAAGTTACAGAGTGAAAACAGAGAGGGATTTTGTAAGGACAGAGCATTGTAAGGTTTGTCAAGGGAAGAATAGGGAGGACCAAGGAGGTGTAGTGGTGGTGGACTACCTAGAACCAGAAGAAGGTTGGATAGAGGGTTGTGTTGCTGGAACAAGCAAGGGCTGAACAGGCAAGTTCTTCTCTTTCTCCTTCCCTTTGGCTTGTGTTCTGTGCACCTAGATATACTCTAGGGTTTTAATGGAATAATAATTGAATCAAGCATGTTTATTATGTCAAATTAACCTAATATTTGCCGTGAATTAATTCGATGATGGGTTTCTGAAAGTTCATTACAGTACTTGTGTTATAAGCATGCGTGGTCTGTGGAACTTGTTGATTTGTAATTTGTTTGTAACTTCTGTAAACACATCTTGGGACTATACTGGACTGAGTTTTACATGTATCTTGGATGCTATGTTGATAACCTAGATGTGTTGGAAATCTGTTATTGATGGTTCGTCCATATTTGTTTTAGTTATGTTCTTAAAGCATGAGGAATCTGTATAACTTGTAGACTCTGTATTTGTTTTTAACTTCTATAAGTACATCTTTGGGATTATACTGGACATAGTTAAAACCATTAGGGACTGTATCAGAGAGGGACGGAATCAATGGGATTCACCGGAGACGAAGCAGGTGCTGAAACGAGGCTGAACGGAAGAGAGCAGGCTCTCTTAATGAGAGAGGCGGCTCCGTTTGAGGATGGAGCCGGCTCTATAGGACATGAAGGTGGCTACATGTGGATGGAGCCGGCTCCATCTCCTTTTGGAGGCGGCTCCAAGTGGGGAAGGAGCCTGCTCCTTTATTTTTTTGAGCAGGCTCCATTCTTTTGTGCATACTGTTATGATTTAAGGTACTGTTTGGGCACTTGGGGTTCTAGAACAGTTTTGAAACTTTAATAGGGTTTTAAATAAATACTTTAACATGATATCAAAGTCTTGGATTGCATAAAATACCCACTTTTCTTAATGGAATTAACAGTGCGCAAATTAACCACTTTGCGTGCGGTTAACGGCTGGAAGGTAATTCATTGTCTAGTTCTAATTTGCTAATTTATGGTGCTAAAATAGGATTCTAAATTAAATTTTAGATACACGGAGAAGTCTTTTAATTGATGAATTAGACTTATGGATAGGCTAGGGCTCTGTGCTAAAGATAAAACAGAGTACAAGTATACAACTCAGTACGCTGTTACCGGATGGAAGGAAATAAATTGCTTAAATTAATTTAACAATTTACTGGACTATAATATGATTATAGAATTGATTTTAAATACGTGATAGAGTCAATGATATATTAGATTTGAACTATGCATATCTGGATGTTAATTGTTGAGTTATGAAATCACAATCTGCAACTATATGGTTTAATGCTTGGATTTAATTGCTGGAACTTTAACTGTTTTCCTGTAATTACTTGGATATTGGTTTTGGATTTTATATATGTGGAATTTTAACTACTGAATTAATATATTCTGTCAATTATATGGTTATGGAGGATTATATGCACCGGTACGGGACAGTGGCATACTAGGGACGGTTTAGCTCAAAATGCTAATACCTAACCTATCGGATGAAATGGATGGATTGTAAAATATTGAATCCTAAACCTTGTTTAGTCAGATCGACTGATTAAGTTGAAAGACTATCTGGATTAATTGTGTTTGTGTGTAGTCGGATCGACTGATTAAGTTGAATGACTACCTGGATTAAATGTTGGTTGTGTTTAAGTCAGATCGACTGATTAAGTTGAATGACTAAACTGGATTAAAATTCTTATGTCAATTCAATGAACAATAAAATGGCATACCTTAGGTTAGACGGACTTTATATATATGTTATGGCACCACGATATGGGCATGAGTCTCAGAGTCGTTGGTTAGGGAGCGTGTATGCATTGGGATGCATAGCTGGATATAATGGTTGAGGTGTACCCTGTTAGGTCTAGGTATTCATGCCCACCTTTGGGTGCATTTTTGCATGTTGCCTTCTACTCAGGTTGAGACCCCATTATAGTCCAGTGAAGGTCCTCTAGTGTGGATATATTTATGTATGGACTAGATAGATATCGTGAGGTATTTAGGTGTATCTGCGTATCGGGTCACTGTATGGATTACAGTTAGATTAGAACTTGTTCGTGGGCCTGACCCACTCTTATTTTTCAGGTGTCGGACGGTTCCAGTCTTAGGCTTGATCGTGCTGTGCAGGGATTATCATTCATTCCACCGACGACGTAGGATGTCCTTCCATATTTTAGTATTTGGTTTTATGTCAATTGTTTACGTTTCAGTTGAGATTTTTATTTAGGGGTCCACTAGATGGATTCCCGAGTTGTAATTCATGGAAGTTTTGGAAGTTAGATTTTATTAAGTTTTATCAGGCTATTGAGGATTTTATATTAGTATTCTGTTCAGCTTTTAATAGTTATTCTTATTTCATTTTTTTTTCATCTGTGTTCGTTTTAAAATACTTTAATTGTTTGATTTCCCTCGGGTTTGGGCCTGGGCCTGATCAACCCATGTCTCGGATCCGAGGGGTATCACAGAAGTCATCCCAAAAGACCCTAGTTTGCAACCTAAGCTCTGATACCACTTGTTGGGCACTGCGGAAGCTCCTGATACCAATTTGTTGGGCAGCAACAGAAACCCAAACAAATATACACACAATGATGGTAAGTCCTATAACAGAAAGATTTGAATAAAGATGAAAAGAAACACACCACAAGACAAGATTTATACGTGGTTCACCCTCACAAATAGGGCTGCGTCCACAGGCGATGATGATGCGTATCACTATTTAAAAGGAGATTACAAATTGAAGAACGTTTTAGTTCTTCCAGACAATAATTACTCTTCTCATAATCAAATGTCACCCCCCAAACGAAGAAAAGCTCACCAAACGTTCTCAAGAAAAATCTCCAATAATTATATGGTTTACATAAAGAAGAAAACCCATCCAAAGACAAATTTCAAATATCTCTCTTGAATATTGTACATACAAAAATGATTTTTTCACACATAAAATCAATATAACTTATTCTAACTCTACCCTCTTGATCAAAATATCTCTTTGGGATCTCTGAAGGATCTCACCAGGATCTTTATCTTTTGCTGCGTGTTATGCTTAATTTATAGGCCAAAGTTGTTGCCTTTGGATAGGAGACTTATTGCTGGCACAAAGCAATTCATTCTTTATTAATTACTTTCCTTAAAGTTTGCTTATTACCTTATCAAACCCTTAACTTGCGCATTAAGTCATCCACACGACCAAACAATTGACCATCACAATTGCATCATTTAACCAATGAAATTTTATCAAAATCCCAACACATCTAAGTCACATCAAGCGGGAGAGGGAGAGAGAGAGAGAGAGAGAGAGAGAGAGAGCGAGCTTGACTGTTAAAGGTTTATTTTTATTTTTATTTTTATTTTATTCTTTTTTATTTTATTTTATTATTTTTTTTTTTTTGGAGAGAGTGGAGCGCACATACATTATATGTACTTAATTCACTTGATGCATCTCTACATTTAAGTCATGGGTTCAATTCCAAAATGGATCTTGTGAACTGAAGACTTCATGGTTTGACAATTTGGGCCGACTATTGAAAAGCGAAAATTAAGCACTGCACGACGATATTACATCTTTTCTCTTTCAGATCACAAACAATATCAAAAGAAGATAAGTCGTCAAAGAGAAACTCAAGAAGACATCTCTACTCATTTAGGGATGCATAGACTTGGCTATCAACCAAGAACAGGCATTGACATTGTTGCATAGACTTTGCTATCAAGCACTGGACGACGATATTATATCTTAAGAGAAACTCAAGAAGACATCTTTTCTCATTTAGGGATGCATAGACTTTGCTATCAACCAAGAACAGGCATTGACATTGTTGCACAAGTCACTTATCAGTATCATCATAACTAAACAATGGTAAGAAGCAATGGTGTTTCTCAACATGGAAGCAGAGGTAGTAAGTAGTGTTTCACTTTGAATGTTGAGACACTGATGGTGAAGTCGCAAAGTATGCCCCAATAAGGTGGATGTGGCAATGGCAGCTGTCAAATGGCAGTGGTCCTAGTAGTGGGATGCTGCAATTTAGTGAGGGTTTACGAAAGTGGTGGTGCTGTGAACAGTGACAGTACTAGGATTAGAAGTTCAGAACTATGACAATGGCGACAATCCTAACTGTAGTGATATTATACTATAATTGTAATTGAATGTCTTATCAGTAGCAATAGAATGGATTGCATCTATCAAAAATAAAAAAATAAAAAAATAAAATTATTTTTTTTTATTTATTGTTCAGAAGAAAATGAACATAAATAAATATACCTGAGGTTTCTCATTGGTGGAGATTGGGAAGCCAGTTAAAATTTTTGTCCTCCTAAAGCACAGTTACCTTCAGATTGTTGAGATGAATCTTAAACGGTTCCCAAAGATCGACGGTGTCTTCATCACATATCACCTCCTTTAATTCCCCAAGATCCTTGACTGACTGTGGCAACTGACGCAGTTGACAGCCTCTCATGTCGAGCTTTTCCAGACCACACAGCTCACCTATCCGTGTTGGCAATTTGCTTCTGAATAAACAGTCAGATATGTCGAGGAACCTTAATTTATGGAGGTTTCCAACTGAATCCGGCAAGCCCTTTAGTCCTGTACAGGAATGAAGCCTCAGCACTTCTAAATTTGTTAGTCTTCCAAGTCTTTGGGGAAGTGCATCCAGGTCATTACATTTAGTGATGCTGAGCTTCTCAAGGCAGATAATATCACAGAGCCCCTCAGGCAGTTCCACTAGATCACTGCAACAATGAATATCAATCTCCACAAGATTTGGGAACATATAGGTGTATTCGACCGTACAATTCCTAAAGGTCTCGCCAATTTTACACAAAATCAAGGATATCTTCCGCAAATTCCTGAACTGTAATGTGGATTCACTAAGGAAAGAAATTGAAACATGCTCTAGTCTGATTCTCTTCAGACTGGATAAATGACCAAGTAGCTGAAAATCGCTTAGTTCAGTTGAATGGAAACCATAATTTGTAATGATGAGAACCTTCAGACGGTCCATTTTGTCCATGAATTTGGGCAGGCTGTAGTTTCTTGTCCGGAAGTTCAATATTAGAACTTCAATTTCAGGTAGTTGCATGCTATACCAGCTTGAGGAGAATGTTTCATCTGCAACCAACATTCTGCACATCGTAAATTGGGAGAAAAAAGAAATAAATACAATATTTTCTACAAGGTTTTATATTGAAAATATAAGATAATCAAACCTGTTGAGATAGACAAGAGGCAGGCATCAAAGGTTGGTTGTTTTTGTTCATTGTCATTGGACCAGTTGGGGAGGTCATTTCCTCTTATCACCATAATTAATTTTTCCCTCTGTTCTACGCTCTTTTGGCTGCTCTGATGGATAGCCAATTCTCTAAGCAGATAATGCTGCGTGACAAAATGCTCATTATTGTAGCCATCAATCTCATTTGCATCTTCCCTGTGAATGAAAGCAAAAAAGATTACTTATGGTAGGTTGCCTTTTTATAAAGTAAAACACAATAATAGTAGCAACCACAATTAACAATAAGGTGGTGTTTTGCAAAAAAATACAGGCAGAAAGACATTCTTCGTTAGCACTGCATCTATTTCACTACTAAATGCCTTTAGTAGAAGGTCAAGTGCTTCGCGATCCGACTCAAAAGCTTAAGTTATTAGGTGAGGCTAATATCCAACTTATATATACCCATTTACTTTCGTATCTAGATCCGATGCGGGACAAGTCTCCCTTATAACTCCTTCCACTTAGATTGTGTGTAATTCCTCTTCAAATATTTAGTCATTTTTCAAGAGAAGCCTTCTTAAATGATTTCCCTAATCTTGCCTCAACTTGCTGCTTTCTCACAATTGCATTGATGTCTTATTCATCTTTTTTGTTTTTCTTTTCAGTTTTTTTCTTCTTTTTTTTTTCATCCCTTTCTCAATAGTGTGAGATTTATTTTTGTAATTAGCATATTTCGGTAACAAAACTAGTCCTAGTCGAGTTGTAATTTCAGTTACCATATCCGACTTGACATTGACTGTAGAATTGGAAGTTTATTCAGAAGAGGCAAGTACTGTTGGTCATTGAAAAGGAAAGAACAACGATTAGGACATTGTTTCCTACTGAGGACACATTGATATACATGGTGTAATACCCCTAATTTCAAAAAGGATAAAATTGGAATTTAAGGTTTATTTTTGTGCATTTTTAATTGATTTTGTGTCTATTTGCTTAATTGACTTCGTGCCTATTATGTATGTGCTAAATTGTTTATTGCCATTTGATTTAATTTTTAATTATGATATTTGAATTAATTGAATTTTTAATTTTTTTTATTACTTGAATAATTGGACCTATTTGTAATGATTTGAATTATTTGCATTAATTATATTATTATTTGACTGAACGGACTTAAGGGTAATTATTGGAATTGGGTGCTTAATTTCATTATTGGGTTTAAATTATTGTAATTAAGTTAAGTGAGTTTTTTGAGACGTCACCTAAGTGTAGCCAACATAGATTTTAAACGTGGGCTTTGTTTACGGGTCAACACATGAAGATTGGGGCTCTGTTTTAATCCTACAAGGAATAGGGTTTCAATTAAGTCTATATATATATAGAGCAGTATGTCACCTTAGGGTTTTAGAAAACATAGACCCTATTTGCGTTCAAAGTTATAGAGAGAAAACAGAGAGGAACAGAGAGAGGTTGTGGGAAACAAACAGAGCCACTTTGGTGAGGGTTTGGTCGTGGCTTGAAGGACGGACGTATGAGAAGGGAAGATGGAGCAATAGGAGATTTAACATTGAATTGAATCGCCAGAAAAACTTAGAGCGACGGCAACAGAGTTTTGAATCCAAAACTATACTGGTAAGTTTTATTCTGTCTCTCTCCCTTTGGCTTGTGTTCTATGCATTCTAGATGTTCTCTAGGACCTTAAACGGATATTAAATAGATCATGCATGCTTAGTATAGGTTAAATTGATAATCTGTATGTTTTGAAATTAAACTGAAATTGTCTTGCAAGTTTGGTTCACTCGGACTCTATGAGCATGCTGTTACGGTATCTGTTTTGATTATTTTGTTAAGGAAAATTGTTATAAACAAAGGACTGGATTATCAAGTAGATGTAAGTTAAGACTCTTTAGATCAGTTTTAAGAACAATACAGAAAGGTTGCAAGTGACCGAAGTCGAAGAAGATAGACAGAAACGGAGCTGGAATGAAGGAGGCTCACAGAAGGGGAAGAGAGCCGGCTCTGGGAAACCAAGAGCCGGTTCCCACCTATAAAGAGCCGGCTCCAAGGTAGTTTGGAGCCGGCTCCAGGTTCTTTTAGAGCCTGCTCAAAGTTTTCAAAGAGTAGGCTCCCTTTTATTTGATGTTTTCTACATTTTTTTGTTTCCTTGTGTATTGTTTGGTGCCTTAAAAATTCTTGAACTATTTTAGGACTTTAATGGGGGTTTCAATAATTAATTTAGAATGTAATCAAGGTCTTGGATTGCATAAAATGCCCTCTTTGTATTAATGGAATTAACAGTGCGCTATTTAACAACTTGCACGTGGTTAACTGCTGGAAGGAAGTTAAATTGTCTAATTTTAATTTGACAATGTAAGGTGCTATAATATGATTCTAAATTAAATTTTAGATGTATGAGAGGGTCTTTTGATTAACAAATTGGACTTGTAGCATAGCTTATGGCTTGGTGCTAAAACAATATACAAGGATGCAACCTAGCATGCTATTGATGGATAAAAGGAACTGAATTGCTATAATTAATTTTAGCAAATTTCTTGGAAAATATTATGATTTTAAAACTTATTTATATGTATGATAGAGTTGTTGATTTATTAAAACTAATCTATTCGTGCTCTGGATGCTGTGTGTGAAATTTATGATTTATGATTTAAAAATCTATTTTGGACGTATAATAGGGTCATGTATTTGTTAAACCTTATTTGTGCATAGGTTGGATCTTAATTAATGAACTAGTTAATTAGGTTTCATTAATTAGATGGAGGTTATTACTTTAATTGTTGAACTGTTTTGTCTGTTCCATCAACTATGGATCAGAGCTGTGGATTTTCTAAGTTATATTTTATCATTCTCAGATGTGTAAATGGACATTTTACTGATTGCTAATGTCGTCAACTGCTGGACTATAGTATGGATTAGTTGGAATTTAAGTTAAATGAATTAAATTATCAACTACACGGATAGATTTTGGATTTTCAATGGATGAACTGTTAAACTTTGTCTCATCTATTACATGGATTTGGTTATATATTTTTAGTTGATGAACCGTTTAAATTTTGTTTTATCAATTATATGGACAATATGAATTTTATTTGATGTACTGCTTAAAATGTTGCATTATTTACGGATCATTTGCATGGTAAGCACCGGTATAGGACGGTGACATACGGAGGGACGGATTAGGTCACAATGCTAATCCCTACCCATTCATACATACGGAATGGATTAACTAAAACAGTTAAATCCTACATGGTTTCATGTCCTGTCAACTAAAATAGTTGAACGACATACTGGACAGTTGTTTATATTTCTGTATTAGGAAGGATAGGGTTTTAACTACAATTTTTAAATCTGGATTACATGTTTTGTCTTGAGCAATGAACCGTGGACCGGCACAACTTGTATTTGGAGGGAACTTAGATATATAATTGGGATAAGGGTTTAATTAAAATATTTAAAACCCAATTTTATGTTGTGTCATGGCAACGAGTCAGTTGAGCGGCACTACATTGGTTTGGATGGGAATTTATATATATAAATTATGGTACCGCGATCTGAGCTTGAGTCTCATAGTCGACGGTTATGGTGCGTATATGCAGTAGGATGCGTAGCTAGCTATGTTGGTTGAGGTATACCCTGTTAGGCTTAGGTAGTCATGCCCACTCAGGTGCGTTTTGCATAGTTCCTTCTATTCAGGTTGAGACCCTCAGCATAGTCTAGTGAGAGTCCCGTAGTGTGGTTATATGTATATATCTATTTACAGACTATATAGATATGGTTGAGACATCTAAGGATGTATCTGCGTATCGAGTCTCTACTTGGATTGTAGTTAGGATAGAACTTATTCGTGGGCCTGACCCACTATCATTTTTCAGGTAACGGATAGTTCTAGGTCTTAAAGCTTGTTCGTGCTGAGCAGAGACGGTCACTCATTCTTCCGAAGACGTAGGAGTTTTCTTCATGGTTTGTGTAATACCCCTAATTTTAAAAGGACAATTCTGGAATTTATTTTAATTATTTATGTGCATTTTTACTAATTAGATTGTTTAATTGCTTGTGTTTTGGTTACTTGCTTGGTTGTCTTGTCTATTTAAATTGTGTTTTATTTTATTATTATTGTTTTAAGTGAATTATTTTAATTGGTTATTTAAGTAGTATTTTGTTTTTCATTTAACTTAATTATATTCTAACGTTTTTAATTATTTATGTGGTTTTGTGATTTAAATGTAATTTAGCTATTTAATCGTTAAGGTTTTATGTTATACATCGTGTCTGGGTTTAAGCCGACTTGTAGTGGTTTAGGATTTAATTTAGGGTTTCAAATAAAACCTATAAATACATAAGTATTCATCTGCCAAGGGTTTTGTAAAACCCTATTCACGTAATAGAGAGAATACAGAGAGTTGTGAGGGCAGAGAAGCAGAGAGGGAGCTTGAGTAATTTATAGAGAGGTTCAAGGAGAAAGGAACGGGGTAGCTTCTGGGTTGAACCAAGAGCGCCAGAGGGGTGGAACGACAGTGTAGGACGTGAACGGGAAACTTCAGAGACGTTGGTTTAGAGTTTCAAATCTAAAACTCAAGGCAAGTTTTTATTCTTCTCTTTCCCTTTAATTCATGTTTTGTGCATGCCTAGCTAGACTCCAGGGGTTTAAATACACGCTAAAACTGATTTAATCATGCATCCTTAACTGGATTAAAACAGAGGGTATATGTTTTTAGTTTCAGTTTCTTATTTTGAATGGTTGTGGAAGTTTTGATGCATAATTGTTGTTTAAGATAAATCTTTGCATGTTAAAATACTTAAAAGAATTTAGTATGGACGTATGGGACGTAGGTTGAAGCTTAGAGGCCGTAACAATGGAGTTTTGGGGCTTACAGGGGCTGAACGGACGAAGAAGACGGCTTCAGCATCAACTTAGCCGACTCAGTTGGGAACTGAGACGAATAAGTTGGCAACTTAGCCGACTCAGTTGGAAACTGAGCCGACTAAGTTAGGAACTTAGCCTGCTCAGTTGGCAATTGAGCCGACTAAGTTGGGCCGCGCCCTGGAACTTAGTTTTAATTGCCCAGAATTGTTTTAGAACCTATTTTAAGTAATTTAAATGAGTTAAATGGACTTTGGATGGTTCAAAATGCATAATACACTTCTTATGCTTAGGAAATTTGACAATATGGATATGTAAATAAATTTTTATAAATTATTTAAAGAATGAATCAGTATAAAGCATACAACTTAGCATACTGATAATTGATGGAAAGAACCAAATTGCTTAGCTTAGTTTTGGGCAACATAATGGATTTTAATAAGATTATAAATCTTATATTAGATGCA